CTTCCTTCCTTCCTTCCTTCCTTCCTTCCTTCCTTCCTTCCTTCCTTCCTCCTTCCCTCTCCATCCCTCAGTCCCTCACTGTTCCTTCCTCCTTCCCTCCCTCCTTCCTCCTTCCCCTTCCTTCCTTCCTTCCCCCTCCTCCTTCCTCCCTCCCTCCTCCTCTTCCTTCCTTCCTTCCTCCCTCCCTCCTTCGTTCCTTCCTCTTCCTCCCTCCCTTCTTTCCTTCTTACTTTCTGACTTTCTGACTTTCTCTTTTTGATTTGTTTTATGTTGCTTAATCCATTTCCTCCTTGCTCCCTCCCACCCACCCGTATGAAAAAAAGCAATGGAAACTAATCTAATGGACAATGTAGGACACAGCTTACTTACATGGATCCCAACTTCCTGTTGCCGTTTCCTTCTTTGTAATTCAGCCTGGAAATTCAGACAGAAGGTCCCCGAGACAGGGGGTCCTGTTTCCCCCTGATATTGTGTGCTGCAAAGCACCGGCTCTCTTAATAGCACTATATAAACACTCACCACAATTGTCTAGACAAGCAGTTTTTTCCCAGGACACCAAGTGTGCATTCAAAAAGAAAGAAAGAAAGAAAGAAAGAAAGAAAGAAAGAAAGAAAGAAAGAAAGAAAGAAAGAAAGAAAGAAAGAAAGAAAGAAAGAAAGAAAGAAAGAAAAACACTTGCCACTTTCTACAAGCACAGCCAGATGTTTAGACTGGATTTAGCACTTGATCCACCTAGCGAGTCCTTCAAAAGGATTCGGGATAGAGATCTATTGACTAGTATTATTACGTATCATTTATTATATTTTAGTGAATAATATTTTACCAAAACCGATCTTGAGGACAATTCAGATTTTCTCTGCTAGTCAAGACAATCTTCAGCGAAATGTATTTCCCATCAGTGAGTGTTAAGTGCTTCCTTTATTTTTACCTCAGCAATTTATCCTGTGAGCAGACGGAGCAAAACTGAATGAATTCAGTGAATGAGGTGTTTTTTTTAAAAAAAGACATGTTTTTCAAACTAAACAATTCTGTTTCCCTTGACTACCTAGCAGAAGCTTCATTGTTCCTTTAAAGAAAAGTGTATTTTCAACGTATTCTTATATTTTTATTTCTGCTTCTCAGAAAGAAAAAAAATACAGGTAGTCCTCGACTTACGACAATTCATTTAGTGACCTTTGACATTATAGCAGAACTGAAAAAGTGACTTATGACTGTTTTTCACACTTAAGACTGTTGGAGCTCCCCTTGGTCAGGTGATCAAAATTCAGATGCTTGGCAACTGACTCATAGTTGTGACGGTCGTGGTGTCCCGGGGTCACGCGATCCCCTTTTGCGACCTTCTGACAAGCAAAGTCAATGGGGGAAGCCAGATTCACTTAACAACTATATTGCTAGCTTAACAACCGCAGAGATTCACTTAACTACTGTGGCAAGAAAGGTCGTAAAGTGGGGCAAAAGTCGCTTAAGAATTTAGCGACAGAAATGTTGGGCTCAGTTGTGGCCGTAAGTCGAGGACAGCCTGGACCAACAAAAAGACTCAAAACTAATTCTAATAGTAAAGCTAAAGGTGCTTTTTTTCTGAGGCAACTGGACTTTCCTGTTTTTCTTTGAAGACGTTTCGCTTCTCATCCCAGAAGCTTCTTCAGCTCTGACTGGATGGCGGGGAACAGGAAAGATTTATACTCCTCGCAGACTGCTGGTCATTTGCCTTCTTTTAGAGAGTCGTTGAGGCCACTTGAAGGTTTACCTGAGTCCTTGAGAAGTTGGAGCTGTGCTTTCTGCAGGATGTTTTCTGCCCGGTGTCCCTGTAGAAAGCACATCCTGCAGAAAGCACAGCTTCTCAATGACTCAGGTGACTCTGAGGTAAACCTCCAAGTGGCCTCAACGACTCTCTAAAAGAATGCAAATGACCGGCTGTCTGCAAGGAGTATACATCCTTCCATTCCCCGCCATCCAGTCAGAGCTGAAGAAGCTTCTTGGATGAGAAGCGAAATGTCTTCAAAGAAAAACAAGAAAGTCCAGTTGCCTCAGAAAAAAAGCACCTTTGGGACAGCCATGACCTGGATGACTGAGAATCTCCACAGACAATAGTAAAGCTAATCCTTTGAATAATAAAGTTGTCTGAACGCTTGCTTTCTTCAGATATGGCAGTACCCTTCCCACCACTTTCTGTTTTGATTTTCCACAGTTGCGGAAAGCCGTGATGGATCACATATCGGACTCGTTCCTCGAGACCAACGTCCCGCTGCTGGTTCTCATCGAAGCAGCCAAGAGCGGCAACGAGAAAGAAGTTAAAGAATACGCCCAAGTGTTCCGTGAACATGCCAACAAGTTGGTGGAGGTAAGTTAGACCGTCCGACACGCCCAGGCAATTGGTCCTGTGGGATCCATAGACAACGAACACTCCAGTAAATAAAGGTTTGGTTTTTTAAAAACACTTTATTATTAACTCAAGCAAACAAACCGAAAGGCATGAGGTAACAAAGCACGTATGCCAGGGGTCTTCAAACTTGGCCCTTTGATGACTTGTGGACTTCAACTCCCAGCGTGCCTGGCTGAGGAATTCTGGGAGCTGAAGTCCACTCCTCTTAAAGTCTATATCAGGGGTCTCCAAACGTGGCTTTTTTATGACTTGTGGACTTCAACTTCCTCCTATGGGTCACGAAAACGCACTAACAACATCGATAACGTATATCCTGGAGCAAAGTTGCAAATGACTATGGTGATGTGCATGGCATCCAATGGCTCTTTCTACCTGCTTAGGAATGTTTTGCGGTTGTTAACAGTGAGTAACTGACAACCCTTGTCGGATCTTGCTTGGTGATAAGCAACTCATTAGACAACACAGCAGCCTCAGAGATACAATGCCTGGTCTTCTAACCTTTCCATTAGCTAATGGAATGTTTGCAAAAAATAAAATACAATAAAATCAGTATTAGCCCAGTGTACATGCATCTGCATGAATGACTAGAGACAACATACAAGTGTAGCATGAAACAAAGAGAGGTTGTAAGGATAAACCATCTTGGTGGCCTCTGTGGAAGATGACTCTGGAGGCAGGTTGTTCCACTGGTTAATTGTTCTGACTGTCTGGAAATTTCTCCTTAATTCCAGGTTGCTTCTCTCCTTGATCAGTTTCCATCCGTTGCTTCTTGTCCTGCCTTCAGGCGCTTTGGAGAATAGCTTGACTCCCTCTTCTTTGGGGCAGCCCTTAAATTTTGGAAGACTGCCATCATATCACCCCTAGACTTTTGTTTTCATTCATTAAACTAGACATACCCAATTCCTGCAATCGTTCTTTGTATATTTCAGCCTCCAGTCCCCTAGGAATTTGCAAAAATTTAAGCTCCTTGCTAAAGCTATTTTAATGAGTAAAATAGAAGGGCTGTGCTCTCAAAACACTCTTTCCAAATCCTTTTTAAATGGTGGCCAGCCCTAATCTCACACACCTTTCCGAAATCTAAATTTATTCCAATCAATCAGAATAGAGCTGGAAGGGACCTTGGAGGTCTTCTAGTCCAGCCCCCCGCTCAAGCAAGAGACCCTATACCATTTGAGACAAATGGCTGCCCAGTGTCTTCTTAAAACCTCCAGCGATGGAGCACCCACAACTTCTGGTGGCAAGCTGTTCCACCGGTTAATTGTTCTCACTGTCTGGAAATTTCTCCTTTATTCCAGGTTGCTTCTCTCTTTGATTAGTTTTCATCCATTATTTCTTGTCCTGCCTTCTGATGCTTTGGAAAATAAATTGCCCCCCTCCTCTTTGTGGCAGCCCCTCAAATACTAGAGCACTGATATCATGTCACCCCTAGTCTTTCTTTTCTCTAGACCAGGGGTCTTCAAACTTGGCCCTTTTATGACTTGTGGACTTCAACTCCCAGAATTCCTCAGCCAGCATATCTGGCTGAGGAATTCTGGGAGTTGAAGTCCACAAGTCATAAAAGGGCCAAGTTTGAAGACCCTTGCTCTAGACTGGCCATTCCCAGTTTCTGCAACCGTTTTTCATATGTTTTAGTCTCCAGGTCTGTAATCATCCATGTTCCTGTTTTTTGCACTTTTTCCCAAAGTCTCAACATCTTTTTTTGTAATGTGTGGTGACCAAAACTGGATGCGCTATTCCAGATGTGGCCTTACTGAGCAGGGCTTTTTTTCTGCCGGAACGCGGCGGAACGGCGTTCCGGCACCTTTTTCCGGGCCGGGCGCACCGGAAATAGCCCCTCCCAAACCGGAAATAGCCCCTCCCAAATTTTACTTGCATCTTTTCTCTAAAGGGGCAGTCCTAGGGTTTGATGGGGGCGTGGCCAGGTTTGAGTTCCGCCACCTTTTCGCTGAGAAAAAAAGCCCTGTTACTGAGGCTTTATAAAGCGGTACTAATATTGCACGTGATCTTGATTTTATGCCTCTGTTTATACAAGCAAAGATTGTATTAGCGTTTTTGGCTGCTGCGGCACACGGCTGGCTCATAGTCAAGTGATAATAATAATAATAATAATAATAATAATAATAATAATAATAATAATAATAATAATAATAATAATCATCATCATCATCATCATCATCATCATCATCATCATCATCATCATCATCATCATCATCAAGTTGGAAGGGACCTTAGAGGTCATCTAGTCCAACCCCCTGCTCAGGCATGTAACCCTATACCATTTCGGACAAATGGCTGTCCAGTCTCTTCTTAAAAACTTCCAGTGTTGGCGCATTCACCGCTTCTGGAGGCAGGTTGTTCCACTGGTTAATTGTCCTCACTGTCAGGAAGTTTCTCCTTAGTTCTAGGTTGCTTCTCTCCTTGATCAGTTTCCATCCGTTGCTTCTTGTCCTGCCTTCAGGCGCTTTGGAGAATAGCTTGATCATCCACTAGGACTCCAAGGTCCCTCTCACTGGGACTGTTTTTGAGCCAGGTTTCCCCTAATCTGTACTTGTACCTTTGGTTCTTCCTGCCTAGGTGTAAAACTTTGCTTTTCTCCACCTTAAAGTTCACGTTGTTGGATAGGGCCCGTTGTTCAAGTTCGTCAAGATCTTTTTTGGATCCTGAGCTTGTCTTCTGGGAGGTTGGCTAACTGGATTATAATGCTGGCGTTATCCTTGAAACAGTCACGTCTACTCTTCTCTGGAAGAGCGCTTATTTCATCCAAAGAGGAGAAAGCCCTGTGTCTTTTTTCCTCTCGCTGCTTAGGTTGAGGCAGACGTCCCTTGGGGACGTTGTGGGTCTTTGTGGCGCCATCTGTTTTTGGTTTTTTTTTCTTCTCACAAGGCTTCTGGAGAGGTCTGAAAGAATCGGTGGCTTGCAGCAAGCCCTTGTGGGTGGCACGTAGAAAGAAGCCTGTATTTTAGCGTGATTAAAATTTGATAGACTGCAGCGAATCAATAAAATCACCGTGCATTTGCAGCCGATCTCCTTAAGGAAGAAGGCTCCCACTTCTGCTTTATGGTCTCTGTTTTCCCTGGACTTACAAGAGTCCTTCGTGAGTGTCCTCCTGTTTATTCAGGTGTCGTTTTAGCAATAGATTTCTTCTGGTTTTGTCAAAGAAGGACAAATTGTGTCTTCCTCTTCTCCCTCCTCCTCTCCCTCCTCCTCTTCTTCCTCCTTCTCCTCTCTTCTCCTTTTCCTCCTCCTTTCCCCTCCTCCTCTTCCTTTTTCCTCTTCCTCCTTCTTTCCCCTCTTCCTCCTCCTCCTCCTCCTTTTCCTCCTCCTCCTCTCCCTCCTCTTCCTCTTTTTCCTTCTCTTCTTCCTCCTTCTCTCTTCTTCTTTTCCTCCTCCTGCTTCCCCTCCTCTTTCTTTTTCCTCTTCCTCCTTCTTTCCCCTCCTTCTCCTCTTCCTCCTTCTCCTCTTCCTTCTCCTCTTTCTCCTCCTCTCCCTCCTGTTCCTCTTCCACTTTTTCCTCCTCCCCCTCTTCCTCCTCCTCCTCCTCCTTTTCTTCCTTCTTTCCCCTCCTCTTCGTTTTTGCTCTTCCTCCTTCTTTCCCCTCCTCTTCCTCCTTTCCCTACTCCTATTCCTTTTCCTCCTCCTGCTTCCCCTCCTCTTCCTTTTTCCTCCTCTTCCTTCTTTCCCCTCCTCCTCCTCTTCCTCCTTCTCTTCCTCTTCCTCTTCTTTCTCCTTTTCCTCCTGCTGCTTCCCCTCCTCTTCCTTTTTCCTCCTCTTCCTTCTTTCCCCTCCTCCTCCTCCTCTTCCTCTTCCTCTTCTTTCTCCTTGTCTTCCTCCTTCTTCTCCTCCTCTTCCTTTTTCCTCTTTCCGCCTCCTCCTCCTGCTGCCATGATGCCTTCTTCTTAATGACCACGGGGTCTGGTTTCTCCTTCTCCTTCCTAGGCTTCTCCAATCCAATCCGGCAGAAAAAAAATGTTGTTGTTGTTGTTAGTTGCGAAGTCATGTCCCACCCATAGCGACCCCATGGACAACGTTCCTCCAGGCCTTCCTGTCCTCTACCATCTTCTGGAGTCCATTTAAGCTCACGCCTACTGCTTCAGTGACTCCATCCAGCCACCTGATTCTCTGTCGTCCCCTTCTTCTTTTGCCCTCCGTCTTTCCCAGCATCAGGCTCTTCTCCAGTGAGAAAAATATTTCCGCTAAATGGGCAATTAATCAATCGTGTTCATGAAGAATGCACCGGGGGTACATGATCTTTAATAAAAACCAAACTCTTCCAATTAGAATGTTGTATTTGGCCTTTCCTCCCATCCACAAGTCCATCCTTTGTCCATTTGCCTATGAGGTGCCTCTTTTCTTGATCCAAAGTTCCTCCTCCTTAATTTTTGAAGAGGGTAACTGGCAGCAGTTAGGAAACGTGGAATTTCCCTATGGTGCTAAATGAAATTTTACAGGGCAGTTGTCCGATTCTACCCTTTTCCTCCTTCTTGTTGACCCCCTTCGTCTTTGGGAAGGGGATGCGAATGGGCCTCGCTTGTCAGCTTTTCCTTTGAGCAATTTTTTTTCATAACGGCAGAAAAAAAGAGGGAAGCTTCTTCTCCTCAGGAAATGGACTTCTGGAAGCTTCCTCCCACTTCTTCCGGCCTGGCAATTTATGGAAATCCATTTTGTCTCTCTGACAGTCCCCGGGGTGAGCTTGCTAAAGAGAAAAATGGCACGGGGTTGTGATAGTGTGATTGTAGGAGGCCATTTGTTATGGAGACTGACAATCTGCCTCTCTAGAGGCGAAGGAACTCGGATGTCAAAAAAAAAGGGTTTCCTCGTTAATTCTGATTGAAAATAAACTCAAGTGTAACTTTGGCAAAGCCTGTGGATTTATCACCATATCTGGGCGGCAGCTGGGGGGGAAAAGGAAAAAAAAAGTTGTTTTTGCTTTTGAAAAATTTCTATTTGACACACACTCA